TGGCAGCTGAACACCAGGCTCTCTAATGATCTGCAGCTCCCTGGGAAGCAGCACGAAAGTGTGTGGAAAACTCATGTCTCGGTGCATAAACCACTAGAAACAAGCCCAGGACAAGAGGAAAAAGGTGCAAGACTGTTAATGTGCTAATAACATTTTTAGATACTACCCTAAATCTGAATCCATTACAGATAAAGTTAATCCGTTTCAGAATTCTCTTTAAACACTGAGTATAGTCAGCAATGAGAGCGAAAAGAAAAGAACCATTTCTTGCTCTGGAACAGGTGAAAAAGACACATTCCCTCAGAAACATTAAAAAAAGCAGGATGAAAAAGCAAAGTGCAGAAGGCAGATGTGCTCTGGTTTCTGCAGTCAGAGGCAGGGATGGAAATGCTGCTTCATTACTCTGACCTAATTAAGAATTCCTTCTAGGAAAGGACACAAACACTTGGAGGAGGCTGTTACAAGGGGTAGAGAGAAAACTAAAGAGTTATCTTTTCTTTCTAATGACATCATGTGCAAGTCATCTAGATTTACATCCAAATCAGAATCTGAAAACTCAATGAATTAGAAAATAACTGGCTAAAAAGTTGATTTGTTCAAAACTCAAAGCTAACTTAGGCTAAAATGACCTTTTCTTCCACGTGATCAACAACTTTGTGTGATGTGTCTCAGCTTCCTAGTTTTTTTTCTGCAATGACTATCTTGGATTTCTAGACAACCAAGAGCTGCTATTTCTATTCATTTGTGTAAGCATCTTTTTCAATAATGAAATATCCATATATGACACATCAGACAAAGGATTTGGACATGTAAGTTAACCCCAAAAAATGGATATAGAAAATGGGATCAATAGCTCAGCTGGCAAGGAAACAAAAATTGAAGGCTCTATGCAGTTGTGATACTAATATATGACAATGCAAATGCTGTAAGTTCACAAATATTTCTTAAGAACAAATAATATCTGATATTCCAGCATTACCCAGGCAGAGGAACTCCGAATGCAAGTACCATTTTAACCAAGTCTTAAGCATTTCATGTAAACCTACTCTGATTTCCTGATTTATTAAAATTACAAGTACAGATTGAAATATAAAAGGATATTTATACCTTTTCTTTCTTACAGGCCTGTTAAACTGATGAAGTCAGAATTTCTCATTTTTTTCAAGGTGAACAGCTGATAGGAGCTGCACTACAAAGCAGGTAAAGCAACTGAATATTCTAAATATGAGTATGTTGCTTTCTATTATGCATTATATAGAAGAGTTTGATGTTGCCCTTCTCAGTGTCACCCCATGTCTATCATTATTCCCCTGGCTTTTGTACTTATGAAATAAGTAAATACACTTCTTTTACTATCTGGAAAACATAACACCAGAGGAGTAAAACATAATTTGCAAGCTTGTATCTGTGGAAATGCCATGAATTGTTCTCTGATGCTGCACTCTTACTTCTGCTTTTATTTCAAGAAATTCATATTCCCCAATATGAGACCATAATTTGCTTAACCTGGATTAATCCTGAATTTAAAAGCACTGGTAGACACAAGCCATCACTTACCACTGAAAAATGTCCTGGAAGGCGGCTGCTTCCAGAGGACCCCAGCTCTGACACACAGGTTCTTCTGGAGCAGGAGGTTACAGCTCCACACCAAACTGCAAACACAACAAACAAGAAGAGTTGCTTAAGTAGAGATGTTTAATAATGCAGATGTCAGCAGTTCAGTGCAGTGACAATCTTACAGTAAGAAGCTTCTGACATAACACGTACTTGCATCCCAAGGTAATGTTTATAAAGGGCAGAGCTGAACTCAGCCATGCTGATCAAAACAAACTGCTTGCAAATGGAATGGTAAATTTTATAATGATTGTTTAGCACTTGGGATTATTCCATCTCCACCAGGGTGCTACTCAGGTGTGTCATTTAGGAACCTCCTACAACAGCAACTATCTAAAGAGACATCATTTGGTTCATGTACCTTTTTCCTCACCATTCTGGTGGGGGGGAAGGAATACTTGGAAAAGCTACAGGTTTTATGAAGAAGTAATGGCATTTGTTAGACCAACTGGTCTAGCTAGAAAAGTAAAAAGGCTGCCAGGTACAGCAGCTCTTCTTTAGAATTTGTCTTACCACTCTGTTTGCTGGTGAACTGCAGTGAGAGTGGTTCTGCCCCTCTGAAAACACAGAAAATACACTTGGAACTGCCCACCATAGGGAAAAGGTTAAACCAGGACTTTCATATGTTTAATATTATATATTTCATTTCATGTTTCTAATACATCTGCAAAGGAGTCATCCAGTTGTACGAGAACTGTTCAAAGCCCGTAAATAAGCACGTTTAAACAAGTACTTGACTGTGGCCTGGCAAGAGCCCATCCTGCTGTCAGGCAGGATCACAGGGAGGAGAGGGGCAGTGTTCCCACACCAACAGGCTCAAGCCCTCAGGAGGAACCAGGCCTGGCAGGTCTTTGGGCAACCCACTCATTCCTGAGATGCAATGGCACAGCTGGGATGTCTTCATTTGGCCCTCTGGCCTTTCATCTGCTCCTGATCAGATATACACCGAGGACAGAGTTGCTTCATTAGCTTACAAGCTATTGCATCATTTGGGGCCATTCAATCCCAGGAAGTGATTATAAAGAATTTAAACAATTAACTTCAGGTATCTACTGAGTTACATATAGACATGATCCCTTTATTTTGACGAAGATTCTACAAATAGCAGTTTTCTTGTCTAGAAATCACGTAATGATACTACAGACACCTGCCAACAGTGTTTTACCATTAGCCAAGGACAAAGAGCTACAGTTTTCACTTATCCCCGGGGCAGTGGGGTAGAATAGCTACCTTCATGGTAACCCAAATATGACAGGACAGACTCTCCCCAAAACCCAGATTCCTGTTAGCAGGTGCTAAACATGCCACACTGCTGCATCATCTCCCAGGATAATACTTCCTTGGCAAGGCAGAAAGAGAGTCCCCACAGCTGCAGAACCTGTATGTTTTACAGAGCAACACACTGTTATTTGTCATGAACAATGAGGTCAGCTGACACTGCTGGATCACACACTAGACCTACACCAATCTGTGCTATTACAAGGCCTGTTTTACAACATATTAAAACACTGGGGTAAAAGGAGCACTTGCTCATCAGCAAGGTGGAAGCCTGAAGGCAGTCAAAACCTGAAGTAATCCAGTTAGCATTAGACTTAAATTTACCAGAAAAGTTTTCAAACCCTAAAAAGTAATGGAGGAAAAAATATTAAAACCTAGCTACAGCCTAAGGCATTAGTATTCAAGGCATTTATAAGCCTTCAGACATGACAGCCTATAAAGAGTGCACAGCCAGAACAGATGAGCTGTCCTGGCTTCAGAGGAGCCACAGGAGCTGTTCCTGCTGCCGGGGCAGGGCAGGGCAGGGCATTCCGGGACATGCCACTTCCTCAGCCAGATCAGCACTGAGCAAGGACACTCCCTGCAGACCCTAAGCTCTTACCCAAATTGTTTCTGGCGCCCAACATGGGAAAATCAATTTACTCTGAAATCTGTCTACAAACAGGTAAAGATGACAAGACTAAACAGTCTCACCTTCCCTGCTCCTGACAGCCTGACCTTGGTGGGTACAAGAGGGGGGGGAGTGTTGACCTCCTGCCTCTGCCACCCGACTGGAGGCTGTTGGAGCGGGAACTACCAGGGAATTCCGTGGTAATTCAGCCCCTCGGTGACTTCAGTCTCTGGACAGGAGACAACTCTCGGCTGTCGGCACCGAGCCGGAGGTGACAGCGCTCTGTGCACGAGGTGTTTGCTCCAGGTTCTGAGACAGAAGGTGGAGTAAAGTGACTGTGTGTCCTAAGAACACAGAACTCCGGCCTAGAAACGTTATTCTTTAATCAGTTTAGTTGTTATAAAAAGCACAACCTGTAAGAGGATATCTCCTGCAAAGGACTGTCGGTGCCCGGCCAGGTCCTTCTCAGAGCCATCCTGCCCCGGGCTTGCATAACCCGGGGGGCTGCAGCTGCCCCCCGTCAACCCATTCCTACTAAACACTTACACACTGACACCTACAGACTGTGAAACCGAGTTAAAACTATCAAAGGCCACGCGCTTCTCTTTCTTAAAATACGTAAAACCCTTATCTTCCCTTCCAGCTTGGGGCATGAGTACAAGGCTCCTCGCACATGCCAAGGACGGGGCCGAGGCAGCAGAGACAGCGGCGTTCACCGCGGTAGGGAAACGTCAGCGGGAGAGGAGGGAGAGGAGGGAGAGGAGGGAGAGGAGGGAGAGGAGGGAGAGGAGGGAGAGGAGGGAGAGGAGGGGGCGGCTGCGGCCCCTGGCCCGGGAGAGGCCGGATCAGCGCCCCAGCTGCTCCTCACGCCCCCCGCCCGCGGGGTGCCGGCTGTCAGACAGGGCTGCCGGCCCCAGACAGTGACAATGACAGTGACAATGACAGCCCCGGCCCCACCTGCCGTGCCCGTACCTGCTCCGCGCCGCCATCTTCCCGCACCGCCTCTGCCGCGGCCCGCGCGGGAGGGCGGGAACTGCGCGAGGGGCGGGGCCGGGGCGGGGGCGGGGCCGGCGCTGTGAGGGGAGGGGGCGATCCCGGGGACGGGCTGTGTGTGTGAGGAATTCCTTGGAATTCCCCGAGGGAATACGGCGCGTAGAGATGGGGTCATTCCTCAGGGGAAACGCGGAATGGGGGCACGGGTGCGACGCTGTTCGCCAAAACGGGGTTTGGTATGGGGTGAGGGCTGTTCTCGGGGGCGGGGGAAGAGGCCGTCGCTGAGGCGATGTGGGGAACAGGGCCGGCCCTGAGGGAACGTGGTGTGGGGACATTTCCCGGGGGATTAGTGTGGTGGTCCCTGAGGGTTTGTGGAGTGTGGATCAGGTTGAAGAGGGAGCCGCTGCTGGGGAGCTGTGGATGGGGTAGGAAGGGTTCAGCTGCTGCTCAGCGCTGCTGTGGAGGGGCAGGTGAGTTCTTGTCCACAGGTGTGGGAGCACCAGGGATGTCAGGGCAGGAATTTTAGGGAGAGGACACTCGGCATGGGACAGACACAGTGCTGTTCCTCCAAGTGAGATGTCTGGCAGGGTAATGCAGTAACACCTGTTCCTACTCTGGTGTCCCTTGCCTGGATCCTAGCAGCACAGAGTGAATTTTAGAGAGATTATTTGCTTTTCCACCCTCTTAGATGCATACCTAGATAGATGCATAGATGCTACATTACTGGGAAGTAGCTAATTACCTTTCTTTGACAGTGGCAGGGGGGTAGTTTCACAGGGTGAATCAGCAGGAAAAGAATTCCAGAGTCCTTCCACTGTGTTTCAGAGCTTTAGGACATGATCCTCAGGCAGTCATGATTAATTTAAATTTGTGATTGATGTTTATTTGTCTTCCTAATCAGGCCTGAATGAGGTCTACAACACTTTGATGTCATTCTACATTTTTCACATCAGCACAGGCAGCAGTAGTATCTGTATAAATATCTTAGACATGTACAGGAAAGCCTTTCATTGTTAAATATGTAACATTTAAGCAGAAATCCAGATACAGCCCTCATGTAACAGTCATACTATTAACTGACTGAATTGTTGGGATGTACCTATCCTGTACATAATTGTAGGATTGTCAGGAAGTAAAACTTCAAAGAGAGTGGGGTTTGACAGTGTTGGGTGCTTTGGTACAAGCCTTGCAAGAGCCATAAGCTTTGTTGTCTAACAGCTGGTGGGCCTGACAGGCAAGTTTCCCCAGAATTGACTCAGAAGTGATTCAGAGGTTAAATGTAACACACTTGTTTATAGTGTATAATAATGGTCATAGACTGAACTGATTAATGACCTATCCTAATCTAATCTTTCTCCTTGGAATTAAAAGTAAATATGTGGACATTTAACTATTTTAAAATTGCTTTTATCATGTGTTTTGTTCTTACACTTGTAGGGGATTTTTGACATCTGGTAAGACTATAAAGCCTGCACTCACTGAGGGATAAAACACACTCCCCTCAGGTACTGAGCTGTGTTAGGCTGTGCAGGTGAGCCAAGTCAAAGGGGGGCTGTTCTCCTGCTCTCTTTTTCATACCACAGCTGTTCTTTTAGAAAATGAGAGAGTGGAGGTCTTAGAGCTTCAGAACTTTTGTTCAGGGAGTGCAGGAAGGAGTGAGAAAAGCCTGAAGTTGGATGGGGCTTGGAGCAACCTGGTCTAGTGGAAGGTGTCCCTGCCCAGGGAAGGGGGTGGAATGAGATGAGCTTTAAAGTCCCTTCCAACCCAAATCATCCTGTGATTCTGTGTAACTTCTGTGATCAGATCAGTAACACCCCAAAAAATGTTGCAGATCCGGAGAGGCAACCTGTGAAACTCAGAGATCAGCAATCTGAATGTGAAAGAAGCAAGTGGTGAATGGTGGCTGAGTATCATGAGGGAAGGGGACATAAGGCAGCAAAAGAAATCTGGGAAAAGTATCTGCAAAAATGGGTGAAGCAGACAAGGTACTAAGGAAATCTGAAGAAGGAAAAGAAAGTTAGGAGAAAGGCTTTCTTCTTCCAGGACTCTTGGAATAGTTAATTCTCTCCTGAACAGGAAGGAGCCATATTAGCAATAATTTATGCATCATCAGATCAGTGTACCTGTCTATAATAGAATAGAATATATACTGTATATTATATAAAAATATATATTTTATATATAGGATATATGTATATGTATGTGTGTGTATTTTCCCTCTGCCATAGAATTAATGATGTAAAGTAATTAAGAGGTAATAATACTCCAGGCTAAGTGTTAGAAAACAGGGAAATAAGGCAGTGTGGATGACATTGCTGTGCTGGAATGGAATGAAGAGAATCAAGACAGTCGACAGTGTCACAGCTCTGTTCTGATTTTGTGGGAAGGTATAGGATTACTTTTTGGTAAAAGTTACTCAGTAGATAAACCATTATCAAGGTGAAAAAAATAAGGGAAGAAGGACCCTTCAGTGTTCTGTAGAGAGATATGGTCAGTAGTTTGGACAATTCACTTAGCTTTAGGTATCTCTGTTGTAAGACAGGTTCAAGTCCTACCCATCTCCCAGAAGCATTTTGAAAAAGCAGAAGCACAATTTGTTTCTTAAGCAGAGGATTACATCTCTTCCTGTGTCTGATCAAAACAAAGCAGAAAATGCACAGATTTTTTCCATCTGCAGATAGGACTAGGACACTGTCCCTTTCTCCCTTGCATACAAGGTTATACCATCCCCTGACAGTTTGTTTGTTTTCTTAAATCTTGGTTTATCCTTGTTGATGCCTAAAACCCCTTTGTTATCTTCCAGAAGCTTTGGTCAGCACTGTGGAATTCCTGGTATGAGGAGGCAGAGAGTCAGGGTAGAGAGAAGATCCTTGCTGAGCTGCTGTAACCATGAAGACAGTGATTTTAATCGTCCTAATCATCTTCTCTTCGCTCTCTTCAGGTAAGGCTGATGCAGAGAGGGAGAGAGAAAGGTGACCTCTGGGAGGGTAACCTCCAAACTAATATATGCTTTGGTTTTGTTTTCTTCTGTGCAAAGAAGTTGCAGCCTGAGCTGTGCCTGTGGTTTCCATTTGCCTGTATTTTTGCTGTTTGATCATTGGCAGATGGTGACCCTGTTAGTTTTGAAGCTGCTTGATACGCTCAGTGTATCCTTAGTGATTCAGGGGAGGTTTGTTTCCTTTGAAGAGTTGGGATCTGGGCACTCATTAACGCTGTCAAAATGAGTCAGTGAACTTCAAGCTGCTCCCCTCTAAATCCACGAGGGATTGTCCTTGGAATTGTACTCAATTAACATCAAAACAAGTGGAGTACTAGTGTCTGATGCTATGCTGGAAGAAATAAAAACTTTCATCTTTTAATTATAAACATTACTTATTCCAGGCAATATTTTTGTGTAATATTAGTAGATCACCAGAGAGTGAAATGCTGAAACATCTGGAAATGACAATGTAGAGATGTTGTGGTGTTTGCTGGGCATTCAGTCCTGGTTTTCATTACATGGCTTAAGATTCTCTCGAGCTGCAGTAACTGCAAGGTCTTAAACTGAGGGTTTTTTTTGTGAAATCCTGCAAGTCTTGACTTCTTTTTTGATGGTACAGGGAAGAAATTCCGCTGGTGCACCCTGTCTGACCTGGAGCAGAGGAAGTGTGCCGAGCTGGCCAAGGCGCTCACGGCCGTGCTGCCCCTCGCCACTGCCACTTCCTTTGCCAGGATTTCTTGCATCAGAGCCCACAATACCTATGACTGCATTGATAAAATCAGGGTGAGTTCACAGAGATTTTTTTAAAGCTGATTTGGAGTCCAGATCCTCTTTTAAAAGAGTAACTGGCAAACAGAATCTATGGGAGAATAAAATGATACAGAAAAGATAGAACTGCATATATGCAAAGTGCATGGTTGCTTGAGAGGCAAGAGTTAAATCCCATGAGCATTCTCCTAGACATACTTTTTCATCCCTGCTAATGCCCTTGCAATCTCCAAGAAATATAGAAGACTGCTTGGAAATAAATGGATAAACCCAAACTATTAAAGTAGAACTTGCTCAGAGCATTTCCCTTGTTTGTGTGTTCTGGTCCTACTCCGACTGTAATTAATATTTTATCTTCCCTTTCTTCCATACTATTTTTAGCCCCTAGTCAGTCTGTTCTGAAGTAAAGAGCAAAGTCTTTTTCATATAAAAAATTTCATTTTGAATAAAATTACACATCAGACCTTTTTTAAGTGTAAGCTCTTGTAATTGAGCAGTTCTGAAATGGAATTTTCATAATGCTAAATGCTTTGACAAAAACCATTAATGGAAAAGGAAGATAAGCATTTGCTTTAGAATAATTTCATTAACATTTACATTCAGTCCTGGTTGCCTTCAAAAAGTGGAGTCCAAATCTGACCTGGGAAACACAACAAAGAAAACTTTCTTGTTGGTTCAGGGTATAATTTATTTCATGTTTTCATTCAGTCTTGCAGCTATTTTAAATAAAATTCAGTTCAACTTTCTGGGTTATGGAAAGATTATACCCAGGAGAACTCTGAGAAGGATTTGGGGTCTAGGGGAGCAGTAGGGGAAAATAGGAGTTACCTTTTTCTTCACATCAGAATTGTGGTTTTGGAATGGAAGACCCAGAGAAGAAGGGAAAAAGAATGTTAGTGGAAAAGAACTGGTATTTTTTGAAGGTAACTCAGCATTCATTGCTAATATTTCACCATGTTTTGTAGCAGGGGTTCAATTAAAAACAAAGCAAATGCTTGTAAAAATCACTGATTACTGCTTCTCAAGCAAAAAAATGTGGTCTTGAAGCTTCTGTTTGTTTTCTTGTAAACACAGTTGTTTTGAGAGTTTTGCTATTGTTTTTAAGGCAAATAAAGCAGATGCTGCTTCCTTGGATGCTGGAGATGTTTACTCTGCTGTAAAACTTTATGGTTTGGCAGTGGTGGCAAAGGAGATCTATGATCAAGGTAGGCTGGTAAAGCAAAAGAATAAGCTGTACTTCTGATTTGGCTAAGAAATTACTCTAGAATTTCTTGAAAAAAAAAATCTATGTTTTTTATTAACTTTATAGGAGTATGGAGGTGGTAAACAACATTTTCTAAAATACTTAGTAATGATGAATAAAATCCCAGTGGTGCTTTGTGCCCAGCAGCCTTTCTGCCTGTGGCACTGACACTGTGACAGACTGACTGTACCTACCCCTGCCCACAGCACTGCTGGGCTGGAGTCTGGATCTTGTAGGGAATAAGAAGGATTTTACTCCACCTGTGTCAATTCTTACACCATGCTCTTTATCAGCCTAACTGAACGTTTACTATCAGTTCTTTAAGAGATTATCTTCTCTCATGAATTAATTCTCCTTCTCACCCTAAAAGGCGAGAATATAAGGGGGAGAATCTTATCATGGTAAGATTCCTCTTCTCTCCTGTCAGTCCTGAACAGTCTGCAATGAATGATTTGTAAGGCAAGAATAAATAAGTCTGAGCCCAAATCAAGCACACAGTACAAAATACTAGGGGACATGAATCTGAGAAGGAAGCCAAATTAGCAGATGGATGTAGGAAGAGATTAATAAGGAGAAGGTATGAGAACAGAGACGAACCTTGTTTTGGCTGACACACCATGAAATGGTGAATATGTTCTGAGGATAAGATGTAGGAGTTCTTTCATTACAGTACCTAAAGAGTGTGATGCAAATGTTCAAAATTCTTGAGAAGCAGTTGCATTGTATGATGGAGCTGGATGGGCTTGTGAGCTTTTTCCATCAGATTTTTACATTCTTGCTTGCACATCACTTGCATCACTTGTTTGACAAGGTGTCATGTACCCAGTGTGTAGTTAAGTTTCTGGCATCAGCACCTACATTTAATCTACCTAGTGTAGATTTTCCCTTGGCCATGTTCACAGAAGTTATTCAACTCCTGTACACAGATGGAAGCTGCAGAATTGGGATGTATTTTTTCTTTCTGTTACATATTTTGTGCTACTGCAGGAAATTGTGTGTTTGCTGTGGCCGTTGCCAGACGAGGAACTCTGGATATCCAGAGGCTGCGAGGTGTGCGCAGCTGCCACAATGGAGCCAGGTGGACATCGGGCTGGAATGTTCCATTTGGCTTCCTCCTTGCAAGAAATGACCTTTCCTGGGATGAGGCACAACCTCTGAGCCAAGGTGGGTGATAGGAGCCACAGGGCTCTGCCCTCAGCAGGAGTAAGTGAAGTGCCAGCAGATGTGGGATGAACTGGGCTGTGTGGAAGTTAAAGGGATTTGTGGATACTAGATCCTCTTGGAGTGTTTCTGCTACTGGCTCTTAGCTCTCTTCAGAACTTTTTCAGTGATCTCAAAGCAGCAGAGTTGTTACCAAAACAGGAAATCTTCGTGTTCTATATGCGGGGAGCAAATCTTTGTAATGTCTAACCAGCACAAAGATGGTTTTAAACAAGCAAAATTTGATCACTCTGTTTACAGCAAATGTTTCAGATTTGGAGTCTAGAGAAAGTTAAAGCTGCATTTGAAGAACTTGTTTATTTCTAAAACCACCATGGTCTTAGTTATGTCCATGGTATGTGTGGCCCCTTTTCCTTCTTTTTTTTTTTTCCCATTTGACTCCTTTCTTTCTTTTTATTTTGCTTTGTTTTTCCCCCTACACCTGCAGCAATCAGTGAGTATTTCAATGCAAGCTGCATCCCTGGGGTTGGTGTTGCTGCTCCTCGACTGTGTGCTCTCTGCCAAGGACAAAAATCCTATGTCAGAGACAAGAACCACTTCTGTGAGACAAGCAGCAATGAACCCTTCTATGACTCTGAAGGAGCCTTCAGGTGAGCTCTGGGACACTGGCACTAAATTCACCTTTGGGACAAAAAGAACTTGTAAGGGAGGAAAGCCAGGTGACATGTTAACAGGATGGCATTTGTCTTCCTGCAGGTGCTTGAAGGAGGGAGTGGCAGATGTTGCCTTTTTAGATCATCTAAGAATTCTGAGTGCCACAGGTAATCCTAAAAACTCAGACTGCTTTTAATCTATGGATGTGCTCTTTCCTGCAGAGCAATTTGGGGATTATGCCAATATTTATGTTGTTTCCAGTGAAAATTCAATCCATGTGAGCAGCTCAATAGTATTTCTTGGCTGTCCACACAAGGAAACAGAAGAGGAAAGGGTAAGTGAGCAATAATTGCTCACAGGAGATTCTTAAAATGGAAGCATAAAGATGTTTTTATACAGTTGATTTCTTTAGACTGAAGTCTCTGACACAGCTGTCAGAATTTGCTTTGCCTGAGTTATAACATGCCTTTTTAAATTCAGTGTATTGAGCTGCTGGGATGTGAAGTTCCTGTATACCTGCTTTGTACTTTTAAACTCAGTCGATCTCTTTACTGATGGTTTTGAAGGTGGTTAGCAGTAGTGTTAGCAGGTAAGTATTTTTAAACAAACATAGTTACAGGGGTACAGCTTAAAGGGTATTTTGAGGCACCTCTGGCTGAGGTCCCTCTCTTTGTAAAGAGAAGAACTAATCAAAGACCACTTTCCCAGGTGCTCTTGGTACCCTGTGCTGCCTGCATCACCTTTGAGCAACCTCCCCTGAAATATGCCTTACATTCCCTCTCTGTGCCTGCTGCCCAGTCATGGCTCACTTGGCAGGTTCCTGAGTGTCTGCTTGTTTCAGAGTCAGAAGAACAGGAATATGAACTCCTGTGTCCTGATGGGAGCACAGCTGAGCTGAGCGAGTACAGCACCTGTAACCTGGGCAAGGGGCCTGGCCGGGGCATCGTCACCCGCAACAACTTCCACAAGATCACCAACAAATTCCTCAGCATGATCCAAGTGAGTGCATGTTATAAGCTGTAGATCTCCAGACACAGGTTTTTCTTCCATATTAGCGTGGTGATTACCTTCCAGTTTGCCTTTTTTCTTGAGAAATTTGTAGTTAGTGTGAATAAAGCCCTAAAAATTGTTTGTTCTGGGGAAGGATCCTGCACTGGCTTCTGCAAGGTTTTACTTTTCTCTGAAGTGTTCTTCTGTAGGAGACTGGCAATAGATAAGTAAAGAAGGGGAAGATGCCATAACACCCAAACTGCAAAATGGCTGATGATGTTCATCCTGCCCTGGAACTTAAGTGAATTTCTGTGTAGCTGAGGGAGATGTGCAGGTTCTGTCAGGGCTCACCTTTCTTCCTCTTTTTTCTTCTTAACTTCTGAATGGTATCTGATATCTTGGCATCCTGGAATCTATTTGAAGCTGAACCTGAAATGCAGAATTTATGAAGCCACTCAGCCCTTAAATTAGTTCAGTAGACAGTGAATAATTCACCCCAGTGGGCTGGGCTGGGCTGTCACGCAGACCCTGTAGAGAGCAGTTATACACAATCTTTCCTTTATTGAGAAACTTCATGTGCCTTTGTCAGTGCACTTATTAACACACCTTAGCTGTGCAGCAGAGGTCCTGCTACACTTCTCAGTGCCATCAGGCTGAATGGAGCTGCTTTGCATGGGCTACTTTCCAATCATAAAGTACAAGATATCTTTGCACCCCTTTGCTGCACAAGTGTTTCTCGCTCAGTTTTGCTTCCTTGATTGCCTTGCCAGGGTAGGGGACACTGAGCACAGCCCAATAAATTGGAATAACTAAAATTGGAAAAAACTCTTAAAAACTCTTAAAAAAAGTGAACCATGTAATGCTTTTAAGACTGCAACCATCTGCTCACTGCAGTACCTGTGGGGTTTGTTCTGAGTGCTATGTTACAAAGCACTGATGTGAAGGGAGGGAAGGATGAGGCTGCCTGTTACTGGAAGAATGGGCAGATTTGTTGCAATTAAAAGTGTTGTTCTTGTCCCAGCGCCTCTTTGGGCAAAAAGGGAAGGAAAGAGCCAGATTTGAACTCTTCACTTCAGCTCCCTTTGGAGGAAAGAACCTGCTGTTCCGAGATGCCACTCAGCACCTGCAGCTTCTCGAGGAGCAGCTGGAGATTGCCTATGTCCTTGGTCTGGATTATGTAGCTCTCCTTAAGGGACTGGGCCACGAAGGTGAGAAGCCTTCCAGGGGACTGTAGCTAAGGAAAGGGAAGAAAAAGTTCTCCTTCCATGTAATTCCTCCCTGCCAGGCACAAGTGCATAGACCCAAACATCCCCTTAGCAAATAACAGATTGGTGCATTGGTGACGTGATCTCACTGTGCTCCTTCCCTCCCTCCCAGGGAGCTCTTTGGAGAACAGTGTCGTGCGCTGGTGCTGCATCAGCGATGCTGAGCTTCACAAATGTGAGGAGTGGGCACTGAGCATCAAATCCGACCCCTTAGTCTGTGTCCAAGCAACTTCCATGACCAAATGCATTGAAATGATCAAGGTAGGAGACTCCCTCTGCTCGGAGTGTGTGATAAGAGTGCACAGGGTGTGTATGTCCTGGTCTGACCTGAACTGGAGGAGAACCAGCTTGTACATCAGAGGAACAAGTGGGAATGAGAGGGAGTTTGTGCAGGGGAATTTCTAACCCGTGGAGAAGCACAACTGCTTGGATACACAACTGATGCCAATCCTGGTTTTGTTCTTTTCTGGAATGCTGCTGGCAGAGCAGTGAGGCGGACGCGGTGACCCTGGACGCCACACACGTCTACATTGCAGGGAGGTGTGGGCTGGTGCCTGTAGCTGCAGAGTGTTATGGTGAGTTCTCAAGTGACCTTTTCAAGGAGAGAGGGAGTCAAAAAGGTGCCATTAAGAATACAGTTAAATTTCCACAGTTTGTGATGTTTTGTGATGGAAGCAGGAATTAATATATGTGTCCAAATACTCTCCCCAGCTGCTCCACTAACTGTCTCTAGCATTTGGTCCATTTATTACATCCCTTCTGTAAAAGGGACAGACGTGCTGGCGTGGCTGAAGAGGATCACAAGGGTTTTGTTGGTGTGCTGCCATGTAAAAGGAATGACAGTAGTGGCAAGATCCTTAATAATTGTCTCTCCTCTCCAGGGGGAGATTGTGCCCAAGCTGCTGAGATCATGGAGAAAACAGGAAAACTAATTCATGTTAAGCACAAAGGTAACAGAAAAACTTTGAGAGGGCAAAATGCTTAGCTTTTCCTGAGACTGCTCTAGGGTTTATGTAAGAATGTATTTGCATGTTTGTTTGGAAAAAAATTTTCTGGTTAGGACAAGAGCTTTGTGGCTAAGCAAAGAATGCAGGTCCTGTACTGCAACTGAAGATACTGTGACAGGATGAGGGAGGGAAGAGGGGGCTGTACCTGTCTGGAATACGTAATTGACTTGGTATAACCAGTTTTTGTCATCGTTTTGCAGCACTGCCACCTGTTTATGCTGTTGCCTTAGCTAAGAAAAGTGCCAAACAGATTAACATCCATAACCTCAAAGGAAGGAGGTCCTGCCACAGTCACCTGTACAGTCCTGCAGGATGGTTACTGCTGTCCAGACACACAGTGGGAGCTCTGGGGAATGATACCCAGAACTGTGACATTGGCTCTGGTAAGGGCTACTCTGGATTATCTGTTGACTAGACCACGAAAATCTGAAGCCCTAAATCTGGGAGTAAAATGAGATGGGGCCATGAGGATTCAGCCAGCAAGTGATTGCAGTCTCAGAGGGTGTCGAAGCAGCGTTTCCCCATATCTGACTATTTGGCCCTCTTCTTGCTAGCTGTTGGGATGGAAATCCATTCCTGTCTTTTCCCATGTGTGAAGAGGTTTTGGAATGCCTTGCCTTAACCTCACCTCGGTTTTCTTTCCTCAGCTTATCAGAATTACTTCTGGAAGGGCTGCATGCCGGGAGCAGATGGCAACATGTGCAAGGTGTGCATTGGGGACAGTGAGGTGGAAGGGGCCCGAGTCTCCAGCAGATGTGCTGCAGGTCACAATGAACATTACTATGGCAACATGGGAGCACTCAGGTGAGCTTGTGGTCGGAGTCAGAAATGCAGAGCAATAGCCAGAATTGGATTATTATTTTGCTGATGATTTCCTTGGAAAGTTTTTTTCCTCCTTTTTGTTGAGCAACTGGCTGTATAAACTTTTGCCAGAGTGTCTTTTGTTTTGGTTGCAGTTGCTATGGGATGTTCAGCTGACTGTTGATTTAAAATAGTCATGAAACCATTTTTAGAGCAAGGCAATGCTTCCAAACATGTAGGGCTTAGAGCATTGGTACCGACTCATTAAGGGGAAGGATTGAAAGATAGTTCAGAGGTCAGAGAGCAGAGGTGATGTGGGAGGAAACAGGGTAGGATACAGGAGGTAATTAGACTGGAGATACCAAAAAAATAGTTGAAGACAGAAGCAGAGAAGAATCTTAAAGGTGAAAGCACTCTTAGAAAAAAAATATATAATGCATTTAGTTGAATTACATTCTCTTTCCTGCCTAGGCATGGGCAAAGGTGCACATTGTGCCACAGCTTTGGCTTGGGAGCTGCTGGAAGGGATGAAGGGATTGTTTTAGCAAATATGTGAACACATATGTGATCCATACTGATATCACCAACTTGTTCCATGTGACAACCAAGTTTTTACAGATGGGAGGGATGCTTCCAGCTACTCCTGTTTTAGCTTTAGATGACTGTGCAAATGTCAGTCATCGTGCAGTGGCTGTCTCTGATCGCTTCTTGGTTTTGTCCTGCACTAGGTGCCTAGTTGGCAATCCCAGTGGAAGAAGCTTTGGAGATGTAGCTTTCCTGGAACACTCTAACCTGCTCCAGAACATAGAAGGTGAGATGCAGATATTCTCTTTCCCTTTGAGAATGTTCATTAGCATCAGTCACTTCCCACAAAGTGACCATCACTTGTGAGGATCAGCCTTTACAGGTTTAATCTGGGTCCACAGAGTGGTGTTTGTGACCAGAAAAATGCAAGAACCTTCCTGCATGTGGGTGTTCCAGTAAAGCTCAACACTCAGATATTGTTAGAGAGGAAAGAGGAAGAATTCCTGAGTGCAAAGATCAGTGTGTGTTGGGGGATAGTCATCCTTGGAGACTGCACTAATTTTTGGAAAGCTCAAAGCTTTAAAAAGCAGAGGATTTTCCCACCAGCCCTTCTCCCACAGGCAGCCAAAGTGCAGGTACCCATTGTTTTTAAATCAGAGTTTCCAGCATGAAAATGGCAGGTAAGGGCAGTGCTGTGGGTGTTTGTGCTGGGAGATGTTCTTTGGCTTCACTGTGACATGGCAACTTCTTGTATTGTTTCACAGGCAGTTATGGGATAAACAGGTCTAACAGCTTAATAGACAAAACCATTGCAAATTATTTTGCCTTTCACAGTTTCTAAAATAGCAATGTTACTACACTGTGAAATATTTAATTTCCTCTGGGAAACACTGATCTTTGCAACAGTCTAGCAATTGGATTTTGTTGATCAAAATGATTTTGGTTGCAGGAGCTTAAATCCCCTCAGTCTCTTAAATGATGTTTACTGCTCTAACAGCCCAAACATACTTTTCATAGAGTCGAGGGGAAAGGGAATCCTCATTTTGTTCAGCCTGATGAAGCACACTGAAATTCTATTTTAGGCAATTTCAGTAACAGAAGAGACTTCTCGAAGAGAAGAATCTCTCTAAGATCAAGTGGGGGTGTAAGGGCCTGGAAACCCCCAGGAATTCATGCAGCAATGAGCAGTTTGTTTGGGGAAGCAAAGGACATGCAGGCCAAAGTGCTTTTTTTCCAGAAAGGGATCTGGTCACAGATGAAGGGGAGACATGATAGGCCTTGATATTACTGTGGTTTTAGTTGATAGGCACAGCTTAAGTTCACTGACCTGTTTCCTCAGTGCAACCACTACCCTGGTCCTTGTGCATTCCCAATAAATGACCACACAGACGCTGCATCTGTTTGGAACACACTGACTAAGCTTCTTCCTCTCCATTTTTAACATTTTCCATGAGATTCACCCTGTCTTCTGCTTTACTTTTGAAAAAGGATTTGCTTTCACTTTGTTTTCTTTTTAGATCTGGACAGCTCTGGTTGGGTAAAAGGTTACACCGCCCTTGACTTTGAGCTGCTGTGCCCGGACGGGACCCGCGCCGCAGTCACGGAGTGGCCAGGGTGTCACCTGGGCCCCATCCCCCCCAGCACTGTCATGACTCGCCCAGTCACTGTCACTAAGATCTATGACTTCCTGATGCAATCCCAGGTGAGGCAGGGAACAGGGAAAAGCTTGGCTTGTTGTCACCTGTTATGTACAACTCCTGAAAACCCTGTCGAGATCCAAAGCTTTCTATACTACGCACATTAAAGTGCCTTCAGATCCAGTACGAAGGAATTAAAAATGTGCATAGGGTGTTAAGAAAATAATTATTTGGGTTCTCTAAAGGGGTATTTTGGCACCAGTTCCCATTCAGCAGTGGCCACACTTTTGCTGAAAAATAAGGCACTGCAAAACTGCATCTTGTACCAATAAGGACAGTGCTAGATAAATGTGGACTCTTCTTTCTGCTATACCTAAAATTGAGAGTCACCAGCTTAACCTTCTACTTCTGATCCAAGCTGTGAAACTTCTTCTCTGTTTAGGAATCTCTGGGAAGCAAATTGGATTCTGAATTCCAGCTCTTTCAGTCGTGGAAGTTCGGTGGAAGTGATCTGCTTTTCAAAGATGCTACTCAGTACCTTGTTCCTGCAAGTCACCTGAGCTATCAGGAAATCCTTGGAGATTCTTTCATCCAGCTGGCAGAATCGGTGTTTAATTGCACACCTGCAGGTAAAGTCAAGTCCTTAATTCTGAGTTAGAGAGAAATGCAGCAGGCAGCCCTCTGTGCACAGCTATTGCCCTTTTGTTTAGGCTGCGTGGGAAAGTATGTTCTACATAATCCTGTTAGGAATAATTTCCCAAGGAGTCCTGTGTTTGGAGCTCCTTTAGAACTTCTTAAAGCTCCTATCTCAAAGCACTGAAAGTGGAGCTTTGCAGAAAAAGAATAACCAACACATTTGTAGAGCAAATATGAGGTTATTGAAATAGGACTGTTTTACTCTCACTCTGAATTTTTTCCCCTTCAATTCCAGGGATCAGTTCAGGAAAAAGGACATATAATGTTCATTTGTATATGCCAAACTTGGGGAAAAAGATAAGAAATTTTATATTTAATTCTTGAATTAACCTCAAAATAAGTTAAATAATTTCCTTTTTAAAAAGATCACACTATAGGGGTTAAGATCAAAACCTTTATAAAACTCATCCCTTAAGGTGGCTTTTTCATGATTTTCCACTGAAAACTGTCTGAAGTGTGAAGTGTGCATTTAGCTGTCAGCAAAACTGGCACTGCCTATGGATCTGAAAATCTGTATTGAAGTAAATGAAGGTTACACATGAAATTAGACTTCTGGGAGTCTAAGTTGTTAAAGAACTGAAATTCAAAAGGGAAATTTTACCTCTGTTTTAATGAATAGTACTTGAAGAATTTACTACTTTTAAAGCTGATAGCATCTTTAGGTATTTTCTTTCTGGTTTGCAGGCATCCTGGACTTCTGCAAACAGGATATCTGTGCATCCTCATCCAACTGACAGTGATACAGAGGCTGTTCAAGGCACATCACCACATCACCATCATTATTGAAAACCAGGAAATGTGCAAGTCCAACCCATCCAAAGCGATCAGCAAGGAAACAGGCATCTCTAGAAATGTATGCTGAATACCTTCTTGTCTTTTTTTTTAAAGCAGGTTTGAAGTTTATGATAATGTAAAACTCCCCCTTTCCTGTTTGGGAACAGCACAGCCAGAGCACAGAAGTAGGATCAGCAATTTTCTACAACTACTCTGGAGAAATCAGCATTTTTGTGGAAATAGCAGGGCCAATACCATGGACTAAAATACAGCCTGGCATCAGTAGCACAGGTTAGTTGGTAGCAGTTTGCCTTGCTTGTCTTATAAGGAGTTTCCATGCAAACCCCACCCCCAGTCAACTGATATTTTGGTAACTGCAGCATTGTCCTCCTGTATCTGTGATTTTGGTTGCAGCCAGATAGTCCTTGCAGAATGCACACATATATGCCATAGGCTGTATATGTAGTTACTATCAGAGCAGTGGTCTTTTCTGCTTTTAACTGGGAAAATGTATTTGCTTTTTTAACCAAGGATTTTTACTACTAAATGAAACCAATTTTTTTCTCACAAATAAATGTATTAAGGCATTTAAGAGCCAGCAGAACTGGATGTTTGCAGCCCTAAGGTGAAAAAAAAAAAGCAGTGGATATTCATTCTTCTCAAAACCTCCAACCATTATTTTTTAGTACTTTGACACTTTGAATATAAGATTCTATGAATGGTCAAAATATTACTTATCAATGAAACAGCATGGGTTTTACAAACAGAAAGTGGCTGTTAGTGGATGAAGATTGAGAGTGGATGGCTCTTCATGGGCAGGCTCATTTCAGTTTGTAAGTGTTACCACCCTCTGCTCTCAGACAAGGTTAAGTTTTTAATTAACAAAATAATTTAAAATCCTTCACTCAAAACTTTCCAGACCTTGCTACGTATGTTGCAGTTGTATAAACCTCAGCTATTAATAAATGAGATGCAACTAGTGCAGACAATAAAGCCAGTGTATCTGCCATATAAAGGAAAGACATAAAAACCCCCTCCTCCAAAACCAGCAAAGCCAGGCAGCCGTACTCAGTTGTAAAAAATGCTGCTAAAAATACCTGGCTTTAAACAGTTTCTTCCAACAAGTTTTAAACAGTTTGTCTTTCCTGTTGTGTGACTTACAGTCACACCTCTTCTGTCCCTTTTCACTTCCTGAGAAGGAAAAACTTTGCACTCTGACTATGAAGTGTTTAGGATTCAGTGCATCTGAGCTGAGACTGCTCTCCATCGTGTTTGTGCCATTGTTTGACACTGACTAACCCAACGAGAGCACCCAAATCCAAACTCCTCCACCTTTCCCAGAAAGGTAAAGGTAATGGCTAAATGGTGAGTAAAGCAAGTCCCAGTCTGGTAACAGAGCCAAATCCTCGGATACGGTGTTGCAGCCAAAGAGCTGTAGGCCTGAAGGAGCAGGGGAATACGAGGATGCTTCCTTAGCCTCTGAGGTGCTCCCTGCCTTTCCTTCCTGGAGCTTCCATGCCCTCTGCGGGGCCCATGGAGCACTGCACTTCGGAGAAGGCAGTTCTGAGAGCAGTGAAGAAATGCCCCCGGAGCTTAGCTTTGCCAAGCTGATCAGTGATCAATCGAAAATCTGGGTTATACACAGCATTTTAAGGGTTGGAAGGGCAGGAATGCCATTTTCTGACACAGACAGTACAGGCCTTGGTGATGTTCCTGTGCTCCAGCTCTGATTCCCAAGCATCAGGTGCTGCCTTGCAGAGCCTGGACCACTGGCCAGCTCCAGCCTGGAATCTCAGCTCTGAGCAGAGCAGGAACTGGCCGTGCTCTTGGGCTCCTACTAGTCTGCTGTCTCAAGAGATGGATGCAGCCTCAATGCTGTGAATAGATCATGCTTGAAATCATGCTTAAAATTCCTCTTCAGGTGTGGCTGTGGATGAAGGAACACCAGAACTGCTGCTCTGTGCCTCACCAACACCCTGTTACTTAGTGTCCATCTCTTTGGAGATTTGACCTCTTTCCCCAATGTATGCAGGACATGTATCATGCATGTTTAGCCACACAAGCCTGAAGGCCTTAAAAAACTGAAAGGTTCTCAGAAAAATTTATTTCCATAAATTAAAAACACACACAAAAGAAACAGTAGAATTTTAGATTCACACAATATTGAACAGAAACAAAATGCCAAGAGCATGATGGAGGCTAATGGCACAAGTGTACAAATTCTCATGGAGCTATTAGTTAACTTGATAGCATCATACAGATTTTCAATCCACAGTTATCATCCATATGCTAGAAAAGCACCTGGAACATAATATACCAAAGGCCCACCTGTAATCCAATACAATGAGAACTGCTGGCAGGAATTCATATCCAGCAATCATCAGAACTCAAATGTACACAGCCAAGAGGCCAGCCAGGCTAATGCTGTACCATACATTATGGAGCCTCAGCTGCTCCAGTCATAGCATGATGAAAATAACATTTTTTTTTCTTGGAAAGTGATCTTTCTATCTCCCATAATCAGCAAATCTAGCAAAGAGCTGCCTGGCTCTCCATAACTTACTACTAAGAGACAGGACATGGCAAAAGCTTTGCAAGCCTTCTCGAGCTGCTCTAGTCATCACTCTGTGAGCAAAGATATACAATGTCTTTCCATGGTGATACAAAAAAATCCTCACTGGAGTGGGTTCACTTGATGAAAAGGCAAATGCACATCTCCTCCAGCTACAGACCCTCTATCCTTTTTTCTTGCAGTTCTCTGTGACAGAAGCAGCTCAGAGTGGCCAATGCCCAGCTTTTGCACAGTCCCCACTCCCAGTGTGCAAGCAGCAGCCCCAGGGAACAGGCTGTTCCAGGAGTGCTGTAACCAGCAACAGAGGTGGGAAAGGAAAAGAGAAAAAAGTGCACAAGCACAACTGACACCTGTTTGCTGGAGGGGGGGAGATGTTTGGTCTCCATTAGCTCACATCATCATACAGACACTGAACCAAAAGAGAATAATGCTGGATATTTGGGTTGCCACAAACTAAGGTCTGGGACGGGCTAAGCAACTGCAACATTTTTGTAACTCCTTCAATTACTGTAAACCAAAGAGAATTGAGTGTTTTCTTTGCTCTCTCTGCTGTAGCTTGTAGAAAGCAAGCTAAGAAATGTTCTTTCAAAGCAATCAGAGACAAGACAGAACAGAGAGGCAGATAAAAAATCCCCACCCAAAACAAACAAACCAACCCCAACATAACCCAAAGGAAAAAACCTAACACATTCCATGTTTTAAAGTACATTGGAGGTCTGAACTTTTCCTGGACCCAAGTTTCTTCCCTCCCCACCCGTATCTTTATTTCCTTAAAGCCCCTACTAAGGTTACAGCTCAATTGTGTCACAGCACTGGAAGCCTCCTATATTAATAGAAGGTGAATGAATGTTCTCTAACAATCCCATTTTATAGCATAAATCCATAAAAATATATCTCTCGCTCTTGCTACCACTTCCAACCAATCCATAATTGGGCTAATAAACCAGGATAGGGAAAGTTTCAAACATTTTTTTAGGAGCAGTCGACCTTTGTTTTTTAGGGATTTCTTTTTACAAAAATAAAGAGGATTAGAATGTTCTACAGCAGCTTAACAGCTTAACCAGAAAAATAGTATGTCAATATGTTCAAACTTTGCCTGCCTTGTTACTTTACCCTCAAACTCCAAACCCTACTCCTCTAAGTGTGCACTCCTCTCTTTTCTTCAGTCTTCCTGATTAAAGATAATTACCCTTAAAAACAAGAATGTAAACCTTTGGGAATCCCAGCACATAAGTTGGAAGCAAAACCAACCAGATTAGACTTCTTTCAAGACTCAGGCACACACAGTGTAATAATCCTCTTCCATTTCTCTACTTTCAAAGCTCTGAAATTCAACAGATTGCTTGATAATTTTTAGTTTTCTGTTTGGTCAGTAACAGAAGTGGTAGAGCAACAGAAGATAATTATAGTATTTTCAGTCCTGCATTTATTGGGACTTTATAAAAAATACCCACCCACTAGATATTTGCTCACTTTGAAGGTCAATAGAAACTCTATTACATGGGCAGGTAAATAAGAAAGTGCAAGTTCAAGTGAAAGAAAGAACAAATTCAATTTGAGCATCCCAGGAATGACAGCTTTGCCTGAATAACTCCTCTAGGCACTGAGGGACAATGACCTGAACTGCAGCTGGCATTCACCTGGAATTATGCTTCAAGTAAGGGTAACAGAAGTTATGCCAGAAGGGAGCTCTCTTCCTTCAAAAGGTAGAGCTGAGAAATTGCCCAGAGCTGCATCAGGGGATTACAAATGGCCTTACATAAAAAATGTCCACGTGCCAGGAGGCTCTTGGTGCAGCACTGGCTATTATGGACAACAGTGAGTACAGAGAGGATCCAGTTAAGAGCTACAGGAATTAAAAATCTACAGTGGTAAAAAACCCTTTAAGATGGAAAAAAAAATTCTTGTTGACAGTAAGTTAATATTTTTAATGGGTTTAAAATAACTTTAAAGCAAGGCCTAAAGATTTTGTTGGTATTCTCTCTATGCAGCAGCTCAGTTAAATAGAAATCTCTGCTTATGTATCCTGCAGTTTAACATCCTCATGGGCTTTTCCTCTGGAGAAGAGGCTGGCATCAGCCAAGTAAGTAAAAAATCTACTATTTGGGAAAAAGTAGTACTGGGCACCATTTTTCCTTAAAACATTACCCTTTTTTGAGTTTAATAATGTTAAAAGGTGTCCTCATGCACCAAATAAAGAAACATATACAAAGTGCAAGTTATATAAAGTCTAGTTATGTGAGGCTTCTGCTGCCTGGAGCCAGGAAGGGCACAGAAACTCAGAAGGAACCTTCTAAGTCAACAGAAGGAAGAAACAATTGAATGCAAACCCAGACAGCTACGTTTAATTATTAAAAAGTTAGTGGTATATCAAGAATGTGTTTGCTAGAATTCACCTTTATCAAACACTGCATCTCTTCTGTCACGTTGTTCAAAATAGCCATTAATTACAGTAACAACAGCAGACTCAAATGTGCAAATGATCTGGAGTACAGAGTTCTAGCATCACTGAAAGTGCACTACTTCCTCCTTTACACTCCTACTCTACCCCCAAAAGGTGTTTAAACATAATTAATTAAATATAAGCAGTATTTTCCAGAGGTTGAGGAAGGAAGGGTAAATTTTATGTGGCTGTGTTACACTCCAATAGGGACTTAAAAGAATCCCTCCAATAGCATTTACAAAAATAAAAAACAAAATAGCACCTTAAAGAGGGTCACAGCCAAAAACTGATTATCAGATGTTAGGACAGAGTAATGCATGAAGAAGTCAGTAGATTGCTCCCCAGAGGAAAATACTCCAGAGGCTGACTGGACCATTCCCAGCTCCGTGGCTCCCTCAGATGCCGGAGGCCTGCTCCTGCTCCACCTCCTCTGCAAAAAAGGCTTCAAGGGCCATGAGCTTCTGACTCAGAAGCACATCCAGCTCTGCACTCTGCAGTGCAGCCCTTTTGGCTCGGGTGAAAGAACCCACTGCTTTGACTTTGCCTCGTGTCTTCCTTTTCCGGGGAAGAGTAAAGTCCTGGAACTCGAGAATCCGCTTTCTCTTCTGCTGGCTGACAGAAATCAAGTGTCCATTCTTCTCCTTGGGCTCTTCAAAGATTGTTTCCAAGCTCCTGGTAAAAGCAGGGGACACTTGGTGAATACTCAAGCAGCAGCAGCAGCAGCTGCCTCCTTCCATGGACAGGGACACTGGGGGATTTTATAACCCAAGAAAAACTGCTTTAACTTTGACATTTTTACAGCCCCTCCACACCTCCTGTAATGAATATTATCCACAGCTTCCACCTCCTGCCACTGCACGTTACTGCCAGCTAATTCCTCACTGCTGCAGAGACACTGGGGTAGAATCTCTTTCTATCTGCATTTCAGCTCAATTATAGAATCTTG